AAATTGATACTCGCAAACATGTTTTTTGTTTTCGCTGATGGGTACAACAACAGCCCCCATATGTAAAAATATTTTGTAGCTTCTGAATAATTATATTAAAAAATATAAATATGGGCATAATAGGTATAGTAAAATATATTAATACAAAAGTTATTGTTATAACATGGTGTAATTTCATTAATGACGGTTCATCACCGTGCGAAGCACGGGTTGGTTGCTAGTATACCATAGGATTAAACATCTCACGGGTGAAATTACTTGGGCTTAGTGTCTATGGGTAAAAAAACTTTGGGTGAAAATTCCCGTGGGCAATTGGATTTGGGTGAAAGGGCATGAAATCGGACCATATGCTCTTGTGTTATCAGAGAATACCTACATCCCACAATTTTGGACGCTATGCTAACTTTGATTTTTCTAAAAAATTATCCCTCATTAAAGTGAGCATGGAGTCCAAGATCTTGGACGTGATGAGCAACCGGACGTTATATAGGTGATCATGGAGTCCAATATCATGGACGCGATGCTACATTAGGTACCATTTAAATGTACACATGTTTTCCTATTTTACACGTTATTCAATATGTGCACAACAAAACGAAGGAGATTCATTTGGGCCACTTTTCAAAATATTGAAAGCAATGTGTTATTTTTCAGTTGTTCACTTTTCCTAACTTCAGTTCTAAGTAGCAAACGTCCTGAGAACTGTGGGGAACATCCTGAGAAAACACCAGAAGAAACAAAAGACATATTAAAAAATTGGAAAATCATCCCAGACGTTATACCCAAATCAGCTCCAGGAATCGTAAAGGTGAGACTGATAGCGCTTGTAATCAATACCTCTATGTGTCACCTCTTAAAATGAAGATTTTAGAATGTCTCTGAAAGTTGAAGCATATCTTCCATACTGTGAAGCACATACTTTTTAATGCAATTTCATAGCAAAAAAATGGAGCCATAAAATTGTTTGAACAAATCGCTTTCACAACGCACCAGGGTACTTTACGGCACCTAATCGCCACTCGAATCTGTTTATTTAGAACTTTCCAAAAAGCTAGCTTTCACCCATCGCTTTTTGGATGACATCCATACATCTTTTAGTAGCCCTCAAAAAAACTTCTCTAAAATAGTGATGAAGGAATACGCGCTAGTATCGAAAAGATTGTGCTTAATTGATGCAGGCTTCCATAAAATTTAATGTGGAGTTGTTCACCAAAATGATGAATTTTAATTTGTCTAGGTTGCATATGGGGAAAGAATTGTTAATTTTGGCAATAATTTAACAAGGACCGAAACTTGGAATCCTCCAACTTATGTACATTGGGAAACTGAACCGGAATGCTCTTACTCTTTAATAATGGCAGGTATGTAAATTAATAACGAACAAGCATATTATCGTGTGCAATGCTAAAAATTGAATCTCAACAGTAAATTAAAATTTTGACAGGGTTATAGGACATTTCGTCAACGATTTTTTGTCCGCACACCTGTTTTTTCCAGTAATTCACGTCCACGCGTTTTTTCGGCACAGGAGTTTTGGTCCACGTGCCAGTTGAGACCCAAAGTTAATTGGCCCACATGTAAATACAAACGACAATTGCTCTCGACGTTTTTGGATGAAAATGTAAAATGTCTTGGAAGAATGAGGGTTTGCTTGTTTTTTTGTCTTGTCTGTTTGGTAAAACGGAGAATAAAATATAGTTGAGAGTTTTGGTAAAAATGGGAGAGCGTCAATGGGCCTGTTGCAAACTTTTGCTAGAGCAGAATGAAGAGTTGGTGTAACAGGACTTAATTATCTTTCAAGATTTTCTCACCTTGTTATACCTGAACCGGATAAACCTCTATATTTGCCTCAGCTAAAGGCTCTTAGATTTATCCAATGTACGATAAGTATCTTGATTTATTTTGCGAGGAATGATCTGTACTTTTAAAGGACGCCTGTCATTCTTAATACGTTCAATTTCGTATTATACTGTACAACACCTCTGTTGTGAAATAGTTGGTTCAGACGCCGCCGCACGGCAGGCGGGCGGCCAGCGCGAAACGCGCATTGCCGCCTACAAACCTTAGTGGATACTTCAAGCATTGTGCAATGCGTGAAGTATCCACTTAGGTTTGTTTGCGCCAGTGAGCTTCTCGCGCTGGCAGCAAGCCGCTCCGCTCTGTTCGGTTTTAATATTTATACTCGCATAGTCAGCGTTTTTTTAACTCATGATTTTGAAATATTTGCACACTCTGCATTGAATATTCTCATTTAAATTGATGGGAAAAAAATATGTATTAATTTATCGAAGGAGAATAATAATATAACGTGCGTTTTTTAAATATTGATGGTTCCGTGTCAAATTTAATGATTTCCAAACTACTTTAATTTTTTCTTTTACATGTTGTGCTTTTATTGTGCTGCAGCAAGGTGTCCGCGCAACCAAACGCTCAATTTATGACGTATTGACTCTAAAAGATCGATGTGCAAATGGGTTCAAACTAAAGATTGCGTGCTTCTTGGTTTTTTTTCCTTTTTTATCCATTTTTGCAGTTTCTGTCGGCCCAACTGTGGCTTATTGAGATTCATGTCGATTGGAAAAGGTTTTACAAATATTTGTCACGTTTTAAAAATAGAATTTTTTTTCAAAATGAAGTAATAATTTCGTAAAGAAAAAATAAAAAAAAATAAAAAAAGTACCTATACACATATAAGGTATATTGTACATCGAATATTATAAGGATAGAAATAAAACCAAATATTCACCAACGACAATTTAAAACGATGATTCAAAAAGAGAAAGTCATAACATTTCATTTAGAAAATGAGCAACCATAACAACACCGCCTTCTCTCTCAATTTCTCATTTCCATATTGTCAATATAATTTTACATACCGACTAAAATATAACGCTTGGACCAAGTCACCGTTGCTTATTTTACGTGTGGGCGTATACTACTAGACAATAAAGGTGCGCGGACAAAAAATCGTTGACAAAATGTCCTGAAACCTTTGACAGTGTAGACAGTTTTGCACTGAATCTTCATATTATGTGAAAGTAACTCGAGAGTCAATGTATCCATCCATAATAATTCCACCTTACTTACACAGTTTTTCATGACACTATACTCCTCTACTAGATTGATTTAGTTAGGAAGAACTTGAAATTATTTTTCACCCGATTTTTCAGGGAAATTTGTTCATGGTTTGATCATAAATGCTTGAAAATTCGGAGTGACATAGATCTATAACTTTCTCCCATACTGCAAATTCTTAGAGAAAATTTGGCAATATTCAAAAGCGCCTACAGCGTATTTCTCTAGCTTAAGTAGTTAAAGCATCTTATACGAAAATGTCATTGAAGAAGAAACACTTTGAAATGAAAATCTGCTTTTTACCATGATGGTCCATAGGAATTTAGCGTGAAGCGACTGCGAAAAAAAACGCCTTCAATGAATCGAATAGGCACCCAAACTCCCAGGGGCTTCACTTGTGGTATCACGCCAAACAGCACATTTCTAAGCAGTAAGTATTGTAAACCGTTAAGTTTATTGGGTGATATTTTCGGCTGTTAAAACTTTTCTCAACTGTGATTAATGAATTTGAATTTTTTTCTTTGAGTTATCTGGATAACATCACAAGTAAAATTCTACAAAAAGTTTCCAAAAAATAAAAGAAAAAAATCATTGAGATTTGCAATAAAATTTGTTTTAAAGGGTATCCCGGGATAAGCATGTCAAAATGCCCTTATGAATGGATTTTTATTTTAACCATTTTAAGTCATCAAGGGTGTCCTAAAACTTAGGTTTTGGAGAATTTTAGCCCCCCAACCCCCTCCGCCCGCCCCCCTCAGACCCCCAAAAACCGCTTTTTTGGGCTATTTTTGACTATGCTAACGTCATTTCCTCATAACTTTCGTGATTTTCGATAGAATTGAACCAAAATTTGTCAGAATCTACATCAATTAGCTTAGTTTTTGTAGACAAAAATGCATTATCATCGGATATTTTAGCCTCTAAAAAAATTCGTAAAATTTTTGAAAAAAATCATTTTTTTTCGTTTTTTCGCGGCTACGTGGCGTATGGAAACATGCACACAAACAAAAATTGTCTCTTTTCCTAATTTATACATCCAATAAGATACAGGAAAAATTTCGTGTTGATCGGAGTGGTGCGCCATACTTAAAAACGCAATTTTCTAACCTCAAAACTGCCTAAATGCCACCATTAGCCTCTTTTGATGACTAGGCGTGGAGAAATTTAGAGAGAAATATCCGGTTTTATCGTCTCACCTCTTAAGTGATCCACTTAAGTACCTTGAGTCAAAATTTCGAGTTGATCAGAGTGGTGCGCAACACCCAAGCACGCAATTTTCTAACCTCAAAACGCCGAAATTGCCCATTTCGGCACCTATTATCACTCCGCGTGAAAAAAAAAGAGAGGTACATCCGACTTGATTGTCCTAACTCATGACTTAGACACTTAAGTATCTTGAGTCAAAATTTCGAGTTGATCAGAGTGGTGCGCAACACCCAAGCACGCAATTTTCTAACCTCAAAACGCCGAAATTGCCCATTTCGGCACCTATTATCACTCCGCGTGAAAAAAAAAGAGAGGTACATCCAATTTGATTGTCCTAACTCATGACTTAGACACTTAAGTATCTTGAATCAAAATTTCGAGTTGATCAGACTGGTGCGCAACACCCAAGCACGCAATTTTCTAACCTCAAAATGCCCAAATTGCCCATTTTGGCACACATTACACCGCTCAGCATGGGTTCTGTCCTTCGACCCCGATCAACTTTTTGAGCTCGCCCACTCGGGAGAGCTCTTTGCGATCGATTTCTTTTAGCATTGGTAGTGTCCGTGGCGACAAATGGATGGTTCTCGTTGCCGTCGGAGGAACGGCCAAAATCCCATTGATTTCAAGGTCTAAAAGTTGAATTTTCGCGGGTTACAGTTTTCCTCCGTCGAACATTTCCGTTCCCTCATTCAACTGAGGATTAATTGTTCCTCGTTTGCTACACTAGAGAGCAGCACTTTCCNCGATTTCTAACCTCAAAACGGCCAAAATGTCTGTTTTGGCACACATTATCACTCCGCGTGAAAAAAAAGAGAGGTACATCCGATTTGATTGTCCTAACTCATGACTTAGACACTTAAGTACATTTAGTCAAAATTTCGTGTTGATCAGAGTGGTGCGCAACAACGGAACGTGCCGATTTCTAACCTCAAAACGGCCAAAATGTCTATTTTGGCACACATTATCACTCCGTGTGAAAAAAAGAGAGGTAGGTACATTCGATATTATAGTCCTACCTCATGAGTTACACACTTAAGTACATTTAGTTAAAATTTCGTGTCTATCAGAGTGGTGCGCAACACCCACGCACGCAATTTTCTAACCTCAAAACGGCCAAATTGCCCATTTTGGCACACATTACACCGCTCAGCATGGGTTCTGTCCTTCGACCCAGATCAACTTTTTTCGATTTATAGGTGCTGAAGAAGTCCAATAATGCCCATATTAACTTCAGGAAAATTATCTGGTGGTCAGGACGCCGCCATTTTGATTTTTTTCAAAATTGAGAAAACCCATGATTAGATTTTTGCAAATATCTCCTGAACGATTCATCTCACGAAAAAAAAGGATAAACCAGCAGATAAAAACATTAAATTTCCACCGGAATCGCCTTCTTTTGTTATATCTACTCATAAAAGCGCAAAATTGTTTGTTCTGATTGAAAATTTTTGGACTTTTTGGCTTTCGATCTCGTCGATGAGTTTGATCTTTTGATGAGATTTAAAAAATACCCAAAATTATAGATCCCTCGACGTGACCTCAAATTAATATTCCAATGCAAACTGTGTGAGCTGAACACTCTCCCCCATCAGTTTTATACTAATCCTCATTAGAGCACAAAATTTTCGACTCTGATTGAACATTTTTGAACTCCTTGGGTCTGTCCAACCCCTCCCCCCTCCCCCCCGCTCCGCAAAGAGTGTGAGTCTAGCACTATTTTATCATCTTGTTGCACCTAGGCCACATTTTTAGGTTTTTCTTCTTCTTTTTTTCTTGATTTTAAAGGAGATGGTCGACAAATCACAATTTAAGGCCGGAGCATATAAACCGCTGTTTCAGAGGATTAAATCAAGTTTGGTAACCATTGGTAGGAGATTTCATCTTTTTCTGCGGGTTTTTTCTTGTTTTTTCGTGAGATGAATCGTTCAGGAGATATTTGCAAAAATCTAATCGTGGGTTTTCTCAATTTTGAAAAAAATCAAAATGACGGCGTCCTGACCACCAGATAATTTTCCTGAAGTTAATATGGGCATTAGGTATTGGACTTCTTCAGCACCTATAAATCGAAAAAAGTTGATCGGGGTCGAAGGACAGAACCCATGCTGAGCGGTGTAATGTGTGCCAAAATGGGCAATTTGGGCATTTTGAGGTTAGAAAATTGCGTGCTTGGGTGTTGCGCACCAGTCTGATCAACTCGAAATTTTGACTCAAGATACTTAAGTGTCTAAGTCATGAGTTAGGACAATCAAATCGGATGTACCTCTCTTTTTTTTTTCACGCGGAGTGATAATAGGTGCCGAAATGGGCAATTTCGGCGTTTTGAGGTTAGAAAATTGCGTGCTTGGGTGTTGCGCACCACTCTGATCAACTCGAAATTTTGACTCAAGATACTTAAGTGTCTAAGTCATGAGTTAGGACAATCAAGTCGGATGTACCTCTCTTTTTTTTTTCACGCGGAGTGATAATAGGTGCCGAAATGGGCAATTTCGGCGTTTTGAGGTTAGAAAATTGCGTGCTTGGGTGTTGCGCACCACTCTGATCAACTCGAAATTTTGACTCAAGATACTTAAGTGTCTAAGTCATGAGTTAGGACAATCAAGTCGGATGTACCTCTCTTTTTTTTTTCACGCGGAGTGATAATAGGTGCCGAAATGGGCAATTTCGGCGTTTTGAGGTTAGAAAATTGCGTGCTTGGGTGTTGCGCACCACTCTGATCAACTCGAAATTTTGACTCAAGGTACTTAAGTGGATCACTTAAGAGGTGAGACGATAAAACCGGATATTTCTCTCTAAATTTCTCCACGCCTAGTCATCAAAAGAGGCTAATGGTGGCATTTAGGCAGTTTTGAGGTTAGAAAATTGCGTTTTTAAGTATGGCGCACCACTCCGATCAACACGAAATTTTTCCTGTATCTTATTGGATGTATAAATTAAGAAAAGAGACAATTTTTGTTTGTGTGCATGTTTCCATACGCCACGTAGCCGCGAAAAAACGAAAAAAAATGATTTTTTTCAAAAATGTTACGAATTTTTTTAGAGGCTAAAATATTATCCGATGATAATGCATTTTTGCCTACAAAAACTAAGCTAATTGATGTAGATTCTGACAAATTTTGGTTCAATTCTATCGAAAATCACGAAAGTTATGAGGAAATGACGTTAGCATAGTCAAAAATAGCCCAAAAAAGCGGTTTTTGGGGGTCTGAGGGGGGGGGCGGAGGGGGTTGGGGGGCTAAAATTCTCCAAAACCTAAGTTTTAGGACACCCTTGATGACTTAAAATGGTTAAAATAAAAATTCATTCACAAGGGCATTTTGACATTCTTATCCCGGGATACCCTTTGTTCGAGAACATTAGCCAATGTGTAGATGTAGTTATAAACACGTAGATTCGCAGTAGATTTCGCGTCGATTTCTTGTCGTCCTTCGTTTTTATCCCTGCATATTTTTAAGTCATGTACTTTTATAAATCGGGTTGTGAAGCAAATTTCACTCTAAATACTAACTTACCCTTTCATAATGACAGTGATAATGTCTATCTACATTTTACTTGAAAAATGTACAGATCCAGACTTCCCTGATGCAAGTTTTAAGTCGGGACAATGGCAGCATTGGAAAGTTGGTAACATACTAGGTACAGATCTTGGAAAAGGACAGTCTATATCAAATTATATTGGAGTTCAAGCCCCACAAGGCACAGGTAAGCTATGCTTTATGCGCATAGATTATGAAATGCCTTTGTGATGTTGTTGTTGTTGTTGTCGTTGAGGATTATTATTATCCTCAAATGCAAGTTTGTAGAATACAAAATAGTCTCCTCATTGGTTGCCAAATCATGACAGACCATAATAGAAAATTAACTACATAGTTTACGGAGAAAGACCTTACCTCTGAAAAAGAGACGAGGTCCAGAAATTTGCTGTACCTACGGTGATAGTTGAACAACATTAGCGACACACGATGTTCTTATTTACAAGGTATGTAAGTCATTCAACTGAAGCACTTTTATACGTAACGGAGCAGTTTTTTAAATGAACGTATTTCTGCCAAACGGAACCAGAGGCAGGAGGGAAATAAGGGGGGTGCTCGTTAGTTGAGGACCGTAAGAATGAACGGGAATTAAAAGGAGCCAGTGACGTCAGCGGAAACGAAGCCGCATCCGGTGTTGCTCTTACTCAGCTTTTACTCATGAGCCCTGTCTACAACGCTCTTTTACCATTCAAACGGCTCATGAGTGCCGCATTAGTTCGATCTCGCATTAATATGCGTTTTGTTTAGTTTGGGTAGACCATGGTTGCTGGTTTAATGCAACACCCCTGTAGCCAAGTCGAAGGGCTTTACCCTTCGCAGCCTCCTGCTGGGGTTGTCGCTGAATGCTCGCTGAGCCAGCGGGTCAGGGTGTGCGCCCAGTCTCATATGGACGTATTTCTATCAAACGGAACTATGTGCAATATGACGTGAGCCCTGTTATGCACATATTCTTATGGGTCTCAGGGCTCATGTCTTAATGCACATAGTTCCGTTTGACAGAAATACGTCCATATGATGAAGCACATCCGCTCTCTCAATCACTTCTGTTACTGACTCAACTCTCAACTCCTCTCTGATTTGTTCGTTCGTAAGATTCCATGGGGCCCTGGAAATCTGCCTTAATACCTTGCTTTGGAAGGCCTCCACAAGATACCGATTCGACTTCCGGGTACATCTCCATAGCTCACATGCGTACATCCGGACCGGACGCAGCACTTGTTTGTAAAGCAATACTTTATTACCTGTGGAGAGGGCCGAATTCCTCCCCAAAAGCCAGTACATTTTCCTGTACTGTAAGTTTAGTTGTTGGCGTTCCTTCTTGACATGATGTTTTCATCGAAGTTTAGTGTCTAGGGTCACCCCTAGATAAGGCGCGTTATCCGTGAATGGCACCGGATCCCCACCTATCGTCACTGGAAGATAAACAACTTTACGGTTGGTGAACAGCATGTGAAGGCACTTGGGACGGCTTAGGGCAATTCCCCAGTCCCAAGCCCAGTCCACAATCCTATCCACCGACCGCTGTAATTTAGTAGTGGCCTCAGGGAGGTCCCTATCCCTCTCCAAGGCCGCAATGTCATCAGCGAAAACACCCATCAGGCCATTCTCAGCTGCTTCAGGTAAATCCCTGGTCAAAAGGGTGTATAAGACTGGGCCTAACACACTCCCTTGTGGAACACCCGCAAGGATAAATCTAGTTTGAGAGTACTCGTTGCCAAATCTTACTGTAAAGAACCGGCCCTCCAGGTGTGACTTAAGCATTTCGCAATGATTTATGGGTAGTATGCTTCTAAGTTTGAAAAGTAAGCCCCGATGCCAAACCCTATCAAAAGCCTGTGCAACATATAAAAAGATTGCTGCACAGACTCCCTTTTTCTCCAAACTTTCTTCCACCAGGTTTACTACCCGCTGTACTTGCTGGATAGTATGATGTTCTTGTCTGAACCCGAACTGCACTTTGGGCAGCGCTTTGGTTTCAGATAGCACTGGTTTGAGGCGTTTAAGATAGAGCCGTTCCCAGAGCTTACTTATCACTGAAAGTAAAGAGATCGGCCTGTGAGAGCTCAGTTGATTTAGATCTTTCCCAGGCTTCGGTATTAAAATAATTTCAGCCTCCTTCCAAGGCGTAGAAAAGTACTTGTTTTCAATAATGTAGTTAAAAATACGTGTGATTTTTCCTATCGCCTTGCCAGGAAGCACTCTAAGAATTTCTCCCCCAATTTGGTCTCTTCCGGGAGCCTTCTTTCGTTTAACACGAAATTTTATCTCATCTCTGACCTCATCATGTGTGAAACGAGCAATTTTTTCCTCAGGAAGAGGAACAGGTTGGGGCAATTCTTCCAGGTGTGCACCCAGAATATCCTCATTGGGGCAGAAAATTTTCTCCAAATGCTCGGAAAAGACCTCCGCCTTCTCTTTATCAGTTTTAGCCCAACTACCATCCTCCTTTTTAAAAGGAGGAGAATAGACGGCCGTGTTTTTAAGGTACCGTATAGCTTTCCATAGCGAGTAATCCGAGGAGGGCTTGGCATCTAGGCCTTTCAGAAATTCAGCTGTATTTTTATGCCTATACTCCCACATTAAGGAGTTTAAGTCTTTGTTGATTTTGTGAAATGCACTTTTGTCGCCTGGGAAACGTGTCCGATGCTGAGTTCGCCCTTGAAATTTCAAGCGTATTTTTCACTGAAATTTCACGTGAAATTTCACTGAAATTTCAAAAGGCTTTTTATTTTTCAATTTTTTTGAAAAATTGAATTTTTGTTACCAAATAAATGCAAAATAAGACTTGCACATGAATTAGTGTAAGTTGAACCTCTCTGGGGAAATTTGGATAAATATTAAGTCGTGTGAAGTGTATTTTGGTGTTGTTAGGTTGCTCCGCCATAATCCTTGCGCCACTTCCGCTCCCCTCACCTCACCATGCACTACCGGTTCCAAACATAACCTCAAAAATTAACAAAACCGTGCTGTTTGTTTCGTAGCTGTGCTGTGATCTGTGAATACTGTGATATTTTTTCATAATTCAATTGTGTTATTGTATTTTTTCCTTCATGGGAAAATACAAAGATAAAATACGAAGAATTCAGAACAGCCTGAAGAATTTCCGTATGTTACCTAAGATGAAAAATAAATTATTCACAAAACATTAATGAAAAACATTTGCTATCACAGACACGGATAAAAATGCAGAGTAGCATTTTTGATTTATGACAAAAAAACTCAGCTAAAAATTGGGAAGCACATGGCATTTGATGAAAAAAATTAATCGGACTTGAATATTGCAGCAAAAAAACAGTTTCATTTGTAATAATTTATTTTCAATTTTTGAAAAAGTCCTCTCACCTTTCTCATTCATTAAAATGTGAATAAAATCTCTCAGTCTAAGTTTTTACACTTACTCAAATAAAGCAAATCAAACCCTGATCGACTCATTCAAATTCTAATTCTTCTTGAGAATTCTTCTGGGAGAATTTAAATGAGCCAATCAGGTGCTTTGCTTTGATAGAATAGCATAGGACGAGTAGGCTTTCCTTATTCAACTATTTGTTTCTCGAGAGAAAAGAGAGAGGTGTCACAATGGAACACAGTAGTCATTCATTCATGGATTCCTCACTCATAGATTAAATAGTCTCTTCATTTTATGCTTCAGTCTCGCTCTCGAGTGTGGCGAGTCTGGGAGTTCACCCTCTCCTTTATTCTTAGTTGTTTCTTCGTTTTTTCGCATTCAGGTGAAACTTATAAGTATTTATTAGTATGGTTCTGTGATTAATTCGCCTAGGAAGCACTTGTCACTAGTTTAACCCTTACCTGCTCAGTGGTCAGTTATACTGACCACCTTTTTAAATAATTATTCATGGCCGTTTTGGCGCGACATACCCTTACCAACCATGTAGTTATACTTGGTATATGGTCCAGAATATGAAAAAAAATATTGCCGGGCGATGTTATGTTGGCAATATTGTTTTATCATCTATTGTTTACCTC